GGATTTTTCTTTTCGGTGAGGTGCAACTGGCAGTGCTTTTTTTTTTGCAGCGAACATCATGCAGCACACAGCTAGTATCTAACCGGCTTAGGATCCAATTATAAAAGCCTTAAGGGGGGACACCACTCACTTACAAGTATTTTCCATTACGAGGCTCCACTAGTTGCGCACCGTACCCATAGCGAGGAGGACGGATTTCTTCTCATCCCCCCCTTCGACTCCTATCTGGGTATGCCTTGGGTGACACAACAAAAACTTCCCATTCAATCCTTGTGCTTTGCGTGCAATCAGAGTTTGGGGTATCCTCACAGCGAGATTTGGTGCGCTGAAGATCCAAAAGCGGAGTTAAGGTTCCTGGGATCAAGGGGCGCACTTAATAATTTGGAGCACAACGGGTTTCGGAGGAGAAGCTCATGGCTGGAGTTGATGTATTGAGTAGATTGCGAGCCGATTTTAGGTTATCTATAAAAACCCCTTGGACCTTAGTGTAACCTTAGCTACCATTCGTCTAACCCGAGCTTGCTAAACATATGGCTCACGAGCACCTTGGATGGTTGACCCCGCAGTGTGGTGCATGGACATTGGAACTGGGATTGACCGCCCAAGTGTGACTTGTTTGATTGTTGGGTAGCGAGATGGGAAACAGGACTAATTGGGGATCGGAATATGTATGATTAGCGCTCACCGGTACTTTGGTGGTGATCCGTTCACTCGACTCGGGTACCGTTCCCCGGGTTGAAGGAGGCCGGTCCGCTATTTTTCCCTAATCCTAAAGGGGAAATTCTCGACGTCCTAGGACCATTCTCGGTTATCTCAGATTGTAACGTATCGGATGAGAAATCCGCGCCCGCAGTTCGCCTGTCTGATAAGGAAGGGGACCGGGACAGACCGAGGGAGAAAACCTGAGACTGGGTGGACATGGAGAATGCGGTTTTATTTCAGATCCATGCACTAAACGTTGAAATGTTCACGAGTGATGTTACGTGATTCCTATTGCCTCGGAAAGGCTTCGTTGGGTCTTTTTCCGAAAACTGTTTAAATTGACACCCTCTGCCTTGTCGCTCGTCCACTGGAAAATATATGTTCCGATCCCCCTGAACCCGCAGGACCGCCACCGCCGCAACAGCAATAACTCCCGGGGGACACAACACCTGCCTTCGGGGGTTGGTCCGGCCGGCTTGGATGTCTCCCATTTGATACCCCAGGATCCGGCCCAACCTAAGCAAGAGAGGCCAATAGTGGATAGAATGTAGCAGTACAGATCGCCATTTTGTACAGTTCTTCACTGATTGACTTCGGGGGAAGTTATCGGCGGTGAGCAGTTAACTACCTGGGGCTTCTATCAATCACTCCCGGCTTTTCCAAAATTTGAAAATCCTGCTCACTCGAGTTCGCCGTCTATCCGACCAAGCGAAATTTCACTTCCGGATTTTCAGCTTTATGAATCTGGCGGTGGGGGTTCCTCCTAACCAAGGTTACAACAAAGTCCACGAATTGAACACAAATCCTTAATTACCATCCAGGTGGACTCAGGTGGAAACCGGAGTGAGGAAAGCCGCTCTAACGGTAATGGATATATGGCAGAGGAAGTTTTCTAAAGGAGTATTTGTTGTGGTTTGTGTCCCGTAAGCATTTAACCAAGCGTTATAATCTTCCTACACTTGCCAACCCTTGAAGCCTATGCTTGATATCATAGATCCGGGCAGTTTATGTGATAATAAAAACCCCTAGGTCCTCTGACCCAAAAGCCTGACAGCTCGCCAACCACGGGTATTTTCTATTAATGAGGAGCAATCACCGGAGTCGGGACGTGTGAAGTAGGCCTTATACCCGATTTCAAATCCAGAATTAGCCGTGGCAGCTAATGAAACAGGTTATGGGAGAGCACTACAGATGGAATTTATATGGCGTAAGAAACAAATCAAACTTTCCCCACTCCTTCTCGAGTCGGCAATTGAGCATTAATCCTCCTTGCTCTCGTATTTTCTGCTGGACAAAATAACGGGCTATGCTCCATCCAAGTCGCTTTAACCCCCCAACACCTCTCTCAGTTCATTTTGCATACGGACCCAAAGGGTTCCGTGGGCTAGCCCGGATTCTAGAGAGTTGGTTAAGTCTAGTAGGGCTGAAACTTTGCCTACCTCGCGTCCGGTCGACTCGGCCCACTTTCAACCCCGATTAACGAATTGCAACGTTTGCCTGGAATCAACTCATCCCTGCCAAACTTGACTTGCAGAGAACTTTGTAGGGCCATGGAAATTCTATGTACAATCATACTCTGCATGGTGGCTCCAATGACTAATGTACGATCACATGTCTATAGGGTGCTGGATCTGAAAACAGGAAAATGAAAATGAAGGACAGAGAGAACAAGACCATAAGTGATGCATGCCACAAGAGGGAAGAAGACACCATCTCCTTAACAAGAGCCCTCCATGAACCTGCAACGGCGGCCTTATTCCGTTTGGAAAAAGAAGGATAGGGGTCGATGAAGAAATATAGGAAAATAGAAAAGGAGCTCCAAAGCACAAGACCAGGGCCGGCTAGCTGGTGAATAAATTGGTAGGCTAGCATGGCACTTCTCTCCTTTACCGCACACGTTTCATCCCTTCCCGCCATCTCCGGAGGAATTCTCATCAACCTGCTCCTGCTATCAGAGTCACTTGACAGACAGATTGACGGTAAGTGTTGACGTATCCCTAAACTCCACAGTATAAAATCGGATATATATATCTAATTTTTCTCACAAAAGCGGATAATGGGAATAAGAATAATAATGAGATCGGGTCGAAGAAGACTCAATCGGTGTAAGATGTTAAAGCGGGGCACTCAGTATGCACCGACAACTTCTGTAATGTGGAACCAAGGGTTTTGTTTGAGGTGCTGTATTGGGTTCGGAGTGGGGATCGGCTGATATGGGGCTTGGAGATGCCGGACGCCCGGTGGGGGTCACAGACCCAGGTGTTCATATTCGAGTGAACTTCGCATGAGGTAATTCAAAATTTTGGAGAAAGTGGCGGAAGGCTTCCAGGGAATGAGGGGGCAGCAGGATAGACATCAAAGAAATGAGTAATTGTTTGCCCGGGGTGCGGAAGAGAGTATGGTTGTAGGGCCACAGACGGTCTGGAACACGGCGCAAGGAGGCGGGAGTTGGGCTTTCTTGCAGCTGTCACGCGAAATACCGGTGCGGGCGGATTTCTTCACTTTCCCCCCTCCGACTCCCACCTGGGTATGCATTAGGTTACACAACAAAAACTTCCCGTTTATTCCTTGTGACATCCGTGCAATTAGAGTTTGGGGCATCCTTATAGCGGGGTTTGGTGGGCTGGAGGTTCGGAGGTGGGGCTGAGGTTCCTGGGATGAAGGGGCTCACTAAATAATTTAGAGCACTAGGGGTATTTGAGAAGCTAATGGCTAGAGTTGATGTATTGGGTGGATTGCCAGCCGATTTCGGGTTATGTATTTACCCTAGTGTTACCGACCCGGAGTGTAAGAGGCAGTGGTCAAGAAAGGAAGGGATGAAAATATTAGGCCACTTTTTGCGGGTTTCGCGAATAGAGTTTACCGGTTCCCCGGGCTGGGAATATAGTTCCCACAGCAACTGCAATGCTCCCCCAAGAGAACTGCGTTCTTAGTAAATAATCAAGCGGGGAGTATTTGTTGTGTTAATTGGGTCACCAGGAATGAGGTTTCCCGAACACTGAATCTCGGAGAACAAGGGGGTGTCGTAATTGGCCCAGCAAGCGGAGCTGAAGTAAGGGACACGATTTGGTTATTTTAAGGAGCTATGATAGTTGAAAAACATCCACAACTACAATAAGAGTATCCCACCCGCCATGTGAACCCCAGAGCTCCTGCCGCCCCAATATCCGCAAGTCCTAGAATCTTAAGCTCACCTCCCCCAAAACCCCTACAGCAGTGATAATTCTTTTGGAGCTCCTTCCAGCTTCCTATGTGTCCCGGATCCTACCCACAGACCAAACTCTCCTCTCGTCTCTCCACGGAACACCGGCTGCCGCTGAGGGTGGGAGATGAGTCCGTGTCGGGGACTGGAGCCCCTGCCCGCCAGGGGTGTCTATGTCAATAGTATTCTATACCGCTCGTAGTTACAGAAATACTCCTCCTCCGCTATATTTCCCTAATCCCAAGGGGGAAATCCTGGATGTCCAAGGACTATTCTCGGTTATTTCAGTTTGTAACCATACGGGAGGAGAAATCCGGGCCTGCGGTTAGCTGGTCTGATAAGGAAAGGGATCGGGATAGACCGGGGGAGAAACCCGAGACTATGTGGTCCTGGAGAATGCGGTTTTATTTTTGATCCATGCACTAAATGTTTGAAATGTTCGCGAGTGATGTTTCATGATTCCTGTTGCCTCGTAAAGGCTTCGTTGGGTCCTCTCTCGGAAACTATCTTAATTTAGACCCTCTGGATCATCGCTCGTCCACCGGGAAATATGCCTTCCGCTCTCCGTGTGCCCTCAGAGCAACCGCCACTGCAACGGCACTATTATAACTCCTTGGGACACAACACCAGGTTTCGGGGATTTGTCGGGCCGGTTTGGCCGTCTCCCGTTTGATACCTCTGTGTCCGGCCCAACCGAAGCACGAGAGGTCAATAGTGGATAGAACGTAGTACCGCAGAGCACCATTTTGTACAGTTCATTGCTTGATTTTCGGGGAAGGTTATCGGCGGTGAGCAACCAACTGCCGAAGACTCCCATCAGCCACTCTTGGCTTTTCCAAATTCCGAACACCCCGCTCACTCGGGTCCCCCATCCATCCGACCAAGCCAAATCTCACTTCCCGATTTTCAGCTTCATGAATCTGGCGGTGGGGGTTCCTCCAGCCTGGAATTGGAACAATGTCCACGAACTGAACACAAATCCTTCATTACCATCAAGGCGAGCCCAGGCGGAAATCGAAGGTGAGGAAAGCCGCTGTGAGGGTGATAGATGCTTCGAATCAACTCATACCTGTTACCAAATTTGACTTCCAGAAAGCTTTGTGGGCGATGGAAAATTGTATGTGCAATCGTACTCTGGCGGGGGGCTCTAGTGACTAATGTGTGATTACGTGTCTATAGAGTGCTGGATCTGAAAAATGAAAATAAAAGCGAAGAACAGAGAAAACGAGACCATAAACGATACATGAACGAATGAATGAGTGAATGAATGAACGAACCGCCAAGGGGCAACAAAAATGAATTAACGAACGAACGACCGGCGGCCCTAACGGCGGTATGAAACTAAGCGAACGAGTGATGGACAATGAAACGAAACAACGCTAAGATCACTCATGAAACGATCGCCCAACTCAAGGCGGGGGGAGAAAAACTCTTCACTTCAGCAACCTCACTCTCACTATCGCGCACTCTGTCTATTTATATATCAACGACACGAAAAGATGAGAATGTCCTAACGCCCCCCTCCCAGGTACGTCTCCCATACATGAGCAAACACAAACAGCTAACAAAGAAAAGACAAACTTCGGCTACGGAACCACCGGCCCTCCTGGGTCTCACCCCTTTCTTTCGTGCCTTCCTTCCAATCCACCATCCGCTATCGTTCCAATGGACGCACGTCCCCAAAGACTCCCGCGATCGAAGCGCTTTCCCAAAAAGCCAAACTGCGCGGGCAGAAGCCTATATGTCCAAAGCCATATCGCGCCCAAAACCCAAGGGCGCTACTGAAGAGTGTGCGAACAAACCAACCAGACCATCAGAAGAGCATGCCGAGAAGCACCTCACAATTTCCAAGAGGTAGTAAGAATAAGAATAATAAAGAGATTAGGTCAAACAAGTGTCAATTCGAAGGTATTAATGAAGGACACGGACAACTTCTGTAATGTGGAAAGAGGGGCTTTGCTTGGGGCGCTAGACTAGGTGCGAAATAAAGGAAATCGACTGATATTGGGCTTGGAGATTGCAGATGCCCGGTGGGGGTCACAGACCCGGGTATGAATATTCGAGTGAACGCCGCATGAGGTAATTCGAAATTTTGAAGAACGCGGCGCAAGGCTTCCAAGGTATTCGGTGGCAGCAGGATAGGTGGGATCGAAGAAGCGAGCAGTTGCCCGTTTGGGGTGTGGAATAGAGTATGGTTGTGGGGCGGCAGACTGCCGGGAACACGGCGCACGGAGGCAGGAGTTGGGCTTTCTAGCAGCCGTCGCGCGAAATACCAGTACGAGGAAGAGTGAACGAATACGGCATGTGAAAGGGGCAACATCAAGGATCGGTGGTGACTGTAGGAATAGAATATTTGAATAGCTGGAGAATTGAAAGTCTCCTGGCTGCTTGCTACTTGTGTCATCCGCCGAGGGTCTCTGCATTGGGATCTGCCCCGTGTGCGAGGAGAAACTTCACAATCGATTCATGACGTAATTTTTGCGCTGCCCGTAGTGCGTTGCCATAATGGCCACCCTGAGCATTCACATCTGCCCCGTGCTCGAGGAGAAGTCCCACAACGGATCCGTTTCCTCCTCGTGTAGCTGCTTGCAATGCATTGCCATATTCACCACCCTGAGCATTCACATCTGCCCCACGCTCAAGGAGAAGTCGCACAACCGATTCATTTCCGTTTTCTGCAGCTGCTTGTAGTGCATTGCCATGAAGGCCACCCTGAGCATTCACATCTGCCCCACGCTCAAGGAGCTGTCCCACAACCGATTCATTTCCGTTTGCTGCAGCTGTTTGTAGTGCATTGCCATACCGGCCACCCTGAGCATTCACATCTGCCCCACCCTCGAGGAGAAGTCCCACAATCGATTCATTTTCCTTTGCTGCAGCTGCTTGTAGTGCATTGCCATATTCACCACCCGGCACATTCACATTTACCCTATCCTCCGTTCTGTTGACTAGTAATTTACAGGCCATCTCTAGACCCAACAAGGAGCAATAGTAGATTGCTGGTGGGTAAGGCTCATCCCCCCAGGAATCATCGGGGTCGTATATATCTAGCCAGGTTTGGCCAAGCTCGAGCACCTTTACCGCAGCCTCGGAGAGTGGAGCAGGCGCTATATACTCGATTTGTCTAAAGTACATAAACCAATGGCGAGCACTGTGGTAGAGAAAGGACATTGGTTCGACTTTGTTGAGGGATACAGTACCCTCTCCTCTATGCCGCAGTATTCGACTAAGGCAAGCGTGCCCCATCCATAAGTCGGCTTTATCCTCCGAAATATGATAGTAGGAACTAGGCGCCTGAGCCGCCCGGTCGGAGATCAAATATTCCTTTACCGAGAAATGTGCTAGTCGTAATCGCCGGCTTTCCTGCGTGGAGGATTTATCGTTCCCGGCGTCTTCAAAGGAAATGAGGCTAGGGCAAATTCTCATGAGGGACTTCATGTCAAAAAGATCTTCCGAATCCTCTCCATACTTGTTGACATCGTATTTTATCACAATGGCCTCAGCAAGCTGGCCTAATGTCAATGGTTCTGCCGAAAACGCCAGCCAATTCATCGCTCGCCGAATATATTCCTTCTGCTTCTCAGGAATGGTATCGAGGATCCTCTCGTAGATAGAGTCTAAGTCTTTCGGGAGTTCTCTCAATGCATCCCGCACAGATGTTGGCGTTATGCATTCTTCCACAACCCGCAGGACACAATCTACCCATCGGAACCTGGAAACGCACGCCGGAAGATTAGCATAAGTAGGAATTCAGTGATTGGGTATAACACACATTCCCTGTGAACCTGAAACAAGCTTTTCCTCTATCTCATCCTTGATTCCTTGCGTAAATTGCCGGAAACCATCCTTTCCGGCTAGAGAGTTCCGTACATATGCGCGGATATCCGGATCGATGGTGCTAGATTGTAGCGATATTGCAAAAGGGTCAAGTTGTTTCAGTGACCCTACTATATCGCCTTCGGGGCGGCTAGTGACAAGAATCGAAAGTGATCCCGCATTATGATCTGCCTTGACCTCGCCAATCCAAGATAGCAGGCTCCCGCGGATGGCCTTCGGGAACTCGTCCAAGGCATCTAAAATGATAAATGTCTTCTTGAAACCCTTTATAATCTGTGACAATACATCTTTCAGAGCCTTTGCACCCGCCGACTTTCGAATTGCCCCGGTGCTGTTGTACAGATCTACAACCTCGGCCGGAAAACCCAACTCCGAAGGCCGTTTTGGAAGTTGGCCAATGATAGATAGAAGCATATTCTCCAAATTTTGCTTCTCCGAGTCACTAAAGGTAAAGTAGAAATATGCTAATGCGTGATCGTCGTTGGACTTGCACACATTTTCAACATCCTCAATGGCAGTGGCGCTAATGCGAGAGTTAGCATTCAAGAAATCACATTACAGCTTCGGATACCCGGTTGAGTTCACACCTTAAGACACTTTTGCCACATCCGGCTACAAGAGGCAATATTAATGACATCCTTAGACCCATAAGATTTCACTCGTCGGTAAACTTACGTATACCGTGGAGCCAGAGAACCCCTCCCCCGCTTGCTTTCCAATCCATATACCCACGCCCCCGGAGCAGCCAATTCCCCGTACCAGGTTCGCGAAGCGCGAGCGCACTTGAATAATTAGAGGTTGGGTCAACGACATTAAGCCATTTCTGTATTTCCTGGAGTTTAATTTCTAGGGGTTTAGGAATATCCGATATTAGTCAAGAAAATGATTGGTAGGGTTAGGAATATTGTAACCAAGTACCATCTAGTGTTCGCGACATCTTTGTTACCGTGGTCCTGAACTAGTCAGCCTTGCCACCGGAAGAAAAAAAAGCAGTGGAGAAACTAGATTCTTCCGTTATGGAGCAATGGAGAACCTACGTTGTGGCCGTGGCCAGCAAAAGCTGAAGTTTTGATCTCTGGTCTTCAACCAAGCCCAGGTAGCGCTCCATTTTAGGCTTACGAAGAGGCCAAAGAAACTTTCTCGACGATTTCCTCCATCCCTGAACATCTAACTTTTCTTCCAGCTTCTCGAGGGCTGTGGCATAACCCTTCAAACTTTCATTTTTGGTCCATTCAAGAAGTTTAGGGTATCGTGGATTGTTCTCATCACCTTGTGCTGCGAGGTTTTGTATTTCCTTTAGCTGCTCGTCAATACTCCTAATCTCATCCGCCAGTCTCTTGAAGTCGTGTTCACTCTCCTTGACTGCTTCGTGGTATTCATCGCAAAGCTTATAAACCTTCGCGCCGAGCTGAAAGAGGGCCAAGCCACTAGCAGCAAGCGAGAATGGTTCCGCCATTTCCTTTCTCCCGAATGTTGTGGGTATAAGAGGGGGAGTGTAAGTTGTTATGAGAGATCTATTTTCAATAGTGAAAGATGAATAACAGTCAGGCTTCGATTTTGAGGTAGGTCCTGGAAGTTTGGGGAACTTTTCAGCTATGCTCTCCAACTGTGGGTTCGGGGATACATCAACTACTCGGAGAGGGTATCTTTTCGGAGAAAGGTCCTTCTTAAGAGCTCTAGGGGCGGGGCTCCGGTATGCGCGCCGCTTACACTGGTGCACAAGAGCGGCAGCTGCATGCCCAGTCGCTGTGGGCCCAACTGCAAGCCAAGTATGATATTACTCAATTACTCCTATATCAGCCCCCGTGCTACCGTTTTGAGCAACGATCAAGTTTCTTCCCCCGCAGGGGCTTTACCGGAATACCACTAGGTGTACCACTGTCTACGTAGGTGGACGGAAGAGGCACCCGAGTAAACAACCCCGCATGTTTTGATCAAGTTGATCGTATCGGAATTGATACGGTCTCGAGTACCGGTATTGCAGACGAGTATGATACTCGTACCCGAGTACTTGTACTATACAGTGCTGAGACTACCATACTGTAAAGCTTAAACGACCCAAATGCGCTACGGTACCGGTATCGCGAGTACTTGGGCCATGCTGTACAAAATTCAACAGGCCAATGTGCCAGCCAGATTTACCGGCCCACTACTTGGGGGACATTCGGTTGCCGGTGCCAACAGCCGAGCCCGTTCTCTTACTAAGACATTGGATTTCGCCTACGATACCAACATTACTACTGGCAGTTCTGGTAGCTTAATGCGATGCAACATTGTGAGACATCCAGCCCCGGTCCCGAAAAGAGGATGCGCAATCTCCCCTGGCTCTGCCCCATGCAAGAGATTGGTTAGCGACCCTCCACGAGTACCGGTATGCCACCCACTGATTTGTTAGACGCCCCGGCGGACACCCCCCCCCCACATAGGCCGGCTGTGTCCCTTCTTGTTGTGCAGTGAAAAGAGACACGCCCAGGTCTGGAGACCAGTGTTGGTATGAAAGGGGGGCTTAGTGATAAAAATCAACAAAGGCCCTGGGGCTCACAGCCATGAACCCCCCCTCCGAAGGTCTGAAGGGGTTTTGAATACCCACAAAAGTACCGCATGCTACAATTGCTTAAACAAGACAGTAATATCATACAGCTAAAATAAGAGAGTTAAACAGAGAAAAAACTAATTCAGAATATATTCTTCGGTTGCCCTCAACATTTCTGCCCGCATGCCTTCATTAATACTATGACTCACAAAAAACTGACAGTGCTGAAAAAAACTCGTCTTCATGAATGTTATTTGATCTCAGCAGGTTTACATGTTATTCAGGCCCCACTGTGGGGAAAGACTCTGGTTGTGCAGAAAAAAGCAAAAATCAACAAGGAGGGTCAGGGTTGGCGAACCCCTCCCCTTGAACCCCCCCTCGGGTCCGCCAAAGCCTTAGTCGCAAAATTGCTGGCGACCACCCCCTTGCGGCAGGGGGGGGACTAACACCCCACATCAACCCGCAATTAGATCACGTTTCCTTTCCATCTCGGTTGGGTCCAACTCCTTCTCCTCTCTTTTCCTCCTTCCGCCATACTCGAGTAGGTATGCTACGCGGCCGTCATTCCCGGACAGTTTCCTGCCCTCCATCCGACCCTCTATCGCGAGGTCACGGACAAATCTTTCACACACAACCCAGCTCGGCGCCATTCAATCCCAGAAGTTGAGCGAAACACATCCACACTAGTATTCTCCAAGCACCAGTAACTTACTGAAATTCCTCCCCCGGATATCTTACGGTGCTGTCGAGGGGTTCCCGGCTGTTAAGCGACCAATGAACCTTGTACGGCTGCAGAGCCTCTCACTTTTCCCACTTGAGGCCCAGAGCCAGATTGTAGAAACATCTCCAAGTGTAGCGCGCTTGTTCCATCGCCCGATTTTCTAGATGACAAATAGCGTACCACTAGCGACTACGAGGAACCACCCCCCTCCATACATCATCATCCTTCGACTTATCCGAATCTCTACTTTCCTCTGCTAAAACGCGAAGTTAGGGCTTTGGGTTGGCTCTCTAACTAAGAGCGAAAAAAATCCCTTGACAAACATCTAGCGAGAACCTCCAGGAGGGGTATAACAATACCCATGATACCCCGACCCACGCCCTGTCATTTCACACATTATCCTACCGTAGGTCCATACATGTCGGAAAATATCGAATAGCTATTATCATATCATGCCATCATACTTCTACTTCCGCTTTTAGGTTAACTATTATGCAGTTGTGGGTGCCAGAACGGTTGATACCGGTTTCAGTCCTGACCTTGTCCATCGCGTAGGACCCCCGATACACATTTGATCATCGCCCCTTCCCTTCATATCCAGCACCCGACTCCCCCACCGCAATTTGCTTTCCATCGTTCACATTAGGACCTGACCTCTCCTACCGCATTCTGCCACCAGCCACTCGATATTCTTACCCGGCTTTCCAGACTTCTCCGCAAGTTCGCAGTGTGTAGACGTTAATATCGGTAGCCGACTGTCCGTTGCGTGCTATGCCCCCAGGAGAATATGCGCTCGGCCCTAGAGGTATGGAGTATGTCCCGCATTTACCTTAC